TTTTTGAACTTGTCGAGATAAACTGATATCAAACTTTAATGAAAAACAATTTAAGAAATTGGACTCTGTTAAGTTATAGCGGCAAGTACTAGCTACATTTTGACATCTACTTTTGGATCCTTAATATGAAGAGAATTCTTGAAGAATTCAATATTTTGGGCTGAAATTTTTACCATAAGTTTTTCTAGGCTCGGGCACACATCTCCGAAAAACTTCATTAGAATCAGTTGCTCTGAGACGAGATTAGTTTTTTAACAGAGAGGAGGATTAAAGCAAAACATAGTTCGATATATATATATTCAGTATCAATTGTCAGTATTGAAACGAAGCATTTGTAGGGCAAGTTTATTTTTTATGTTGTTATTCCTTTTGAGAGTCGGTTTATTTTGAGTTTCATGGTCAGTCGATATGGATGCAAGCTAGGTAGACAATTCTCAAAGATAGCTAATGCTTGTTTGTAGTAATAAAGAGCCAATCTAAGTTCACTAAGATGCTCGTAACTTTCACCGATACGAGAAAAACTTTGACCAATTTCAGTTGTAGTTGGCGGTTGAAATTTCATACGCATTAAGCAGCTATTTATTTCATATGATAAAGAATGTTCATGATGATGTCGATTTCTTTGAGCTTGACTCAAACGTATCAGAGTATCAGCAATTTTAAGATCATTTACAGGTAAACTCGTTTCTCTAATCCATAGGCACCTTTCAAAATATTGAATGGCACGATTAAAATCTTGCCTTGCATTTGCAATAATTCCCATCATGTATAGACACCTAGCTATTTCAACATGGTCCATTGAACAATTTTCTTCGAGTATAGATAGTGCTTGATGGTAAAAACTTATAGCATCGTCATAATTCCTTTGCTGATTAGCTATAGCACCCATGTCTTGGAGATTTTTAGCAATGACAGAGTATGCAAATGGACTATTTTCCTGCCGAATTTTTAATGCTCGCTGTTGCATACTTAGAGCTTCAGTGTAGTTTCCTCGAATCTTGAAAATCGCACTAATATTGCTCAATGTAATGGCCATGCTCTCGTATCTAGTAGGATGATCTTTTTCGTAGTGTATAATAGCTTTTTGATAGAAGTCAAAAGCTTCATTGTATCTAGCTTGTGAAAACATCGTAGTACCCATATCATTGAGAGTCCTACCAATATCCGAATGCTTGCATGGATTGCAATGTTCTAGAATTGCCAACGCTTGTTGTTGAAATTCAAACGCTTTATCGTATTTTTTTTGTTGGCGGAAAATGTTTCCGATAGAATTAAGACATATACCTGTACTAGCATAACCATCTAGATATAACGTCTCGTAGATTTTTAATGCTTTTTGCCTCAATTCGAGGGCATCATCGTACTTTGTTTGTTTTTCGAGAACATAACCAATGCGTTGTAGATTATTAGCGATGGCAGCTTGATCAGATGAACAAAATTCGTCTCTAATGGAAAGTGCTCGTTGATAGACTTCAATAGCTTCATCATACTGTTTTAACTGCATTCGAAGATATCCAATGCTTATAAGGTCATTCGCAATGTTTTTATGATCTGACGAATAATGTTCTTCTCGTATTCCTAACGCACGCTGTTGATATAATAGTGCTTCATCGTATTTTCCTTGATCGCCGAAAATATTAGCAATATCGTTCAATCTATCAACTATGCTCGAGTAATTTAATGGATTAATTTTCTCTTGAATTGTTAGAGCTCGTTGTTGAAACTCACATGCATCAGTATATTTAGCTTGACAACGCAAACTACGACTTATCTCTATGCAGATACTCATAATTTCAGTGTGATCTTGGGATAGAATTTTTTCTTTGATCGATAATGCACGTTGTTGATATACAACAGCCTCTTCATTTTTATCTTGTAAATATAGAACATAACCGATATTTCTTAAAGTGTCAGCCATTAGCCATTGATCCGAAGGATAACTGTTTCCAATGTTTATAAGTAATGATTGTGCTTGTTCATAAAATCTAAGCGCTTCATCATACTTCTTTTCACTCTGCAGTAACCAGCCGATTTGATTCAGCGTTATGGCAATGGTGGCATGTCCTGAAGGATAATATTTCTCTTGAATTTCTAATGCTTTCTTACAAGTTATCACGGACTCATCATATTTTTTCTGACGACAAAGTACAGTACTAATATAGGTAAGGGTATCAGCAAGATTGAGATGGTCACAGCCATAATAGCACTTTTGATTTTCCAATGCTCTCTGAAAATAATCCATGGCTTCATCGAACTTTTCTTGACTAATTAGAATAATACCGATGACATTCAAACTAGAAGAAATGAAACCGAGATCATATGGACAGTGTTTTTCAAGTATTGAAAGTGCTTCCTGATAGTGATCTAGAGCTTCATCAAATTGTTCTTGTCGGGATAATGCATAGCCTATGTTCTTAAGTGTAAAAGCTATATTGGCATGACCAGATGGATAGTCGTTCTTTTGCACCATCAATGCTTGTTTGTGATAACATATAGCTTCGTCGTATTTCGTTTGACTGCATAGAACATCTCCGATCCGATTGAATGTGAATGCTATGCTGGCTTGAAAAGATGGATAATATTTCTCTAGCATCGCAAATGCCTGCTGATGAAAGTTCATAGCATCATCAAACATTCCTAATCTATGAAAAGCATCACCAATATTATTCAAGTTACATATAAGTTTTACATGACTAGATGTGTAGTATGATTGTTGTATTGTCAATGATTGTTGAAAAAGTTCCAAAGCAGAAGCATAATTTTTTAATCCATGGTTAATAAGAGCAATCATACAAAGGTAACTAGCGAGAAGAATGTGATCAAATGAATAACATTTCTTTTGTATTTTTAATGCTCGTTGATGAATATCAATAGCCTCATTATATTTCTCTTGCCGATATAGAAGATCTGCGATGTTATTGAGTATCACAGCAATGTATACATGGCCTAGAGGATAATATTTTTCGTAGATTTCTATTGCTTGTCGATGATATTCAAGAGCTTTTTCGTGATTATATTTCTCACGAAAACACAGTCCAATACCGATGAGACACTTACCCATATCGATATGAGGATACTTATAATATTTCTCTAAAATTACTAGTGCTTGTTGAAAGTATGATAATGCTTCGTCGTTTTTGTTTTGAATAAAGAAGATATCACCAATATTACGAAGGCTAGTAGCAATATGTATGTGATGCGAAGAATAATATTCCTTTCGAATTGTTAATGCTTGTTGATGATAATTCATGGCCTCTTCGAATTTTCCTTGTTCACAGAGAGTCTCTCCTATGTCGGAAAGTACTAGAGCTGAATCTTTAATACGCCTTTGTTTTGGATCTATCATTCGATAGTAAGCACGATCATAATATTTACGTGCCATATTCCATTCTGATTTCAAATGATGAATTTCACCAAGACTATATTCTATCCAAGCTTGATCTGTACTATTCGAATCGATTAATAAACGTTCAAAATAAGTTTGTGATTGATTCCATTGACCCATATCTAACATGAGACGTCCGAAAAGAATCTCCATACTTAAGTCTTCGATTTGACGATGTGTATCTTCAATATATTTTTTTAGAATAGCTTTTCCTTCATTTGTAGGATGCATTTTAATCATCCAAAAGTTTTCATAAAATTCAATATTGTCCAAATGAAAGATGGTATCTAAACTAAAGAGAATATCATCTTGCTTTGAATACTTATTACATTTGTCTATATCTGTAAAGATAACAAATTTGTTAAAATCTTGTGAATTTAAGTCAATTTCGAAAACTACAGAAATAAGATTCGTTTGTCTTATTGATTTGCCAGCAAAATTCAGTGCATCGGAACGATGTCGAGTTGCTGTCAAGAATCCATGGCTTAAAAGAAGTTTTCGTTCGTTTTTTTTGAATTCTTTCAATTGATCATTCCATAATTTCATTCCTCGATAAACAGTAAGATTTTCATTATCATATGGAATTTTATTTTGATGTTGATCTGTAAAACTTTGTACAAGATCACACATAAAATATCTTAATGCATACTGTTGATCCATGTCTTTTATTTGTAATGCTCTTTTAATCATTTTATAAGGTAATGATTTATTCAAATACCATTGAATGACTTTATTTGAACTATATTCACGTTCAAAGTCATGAATTAATTTTAAATATTTTAAATTATTTTGATAATATTGACGACAGAAATCGATCATTTCATTCTTTGCTAATTGATCAGATGATGATTGCAAAATAATATTATTGAAAAATTGATACCATAATAAATCAGAAGTTTGTTTCGATAAATCGTGTGTTAAATATTCAGATTGGTCAAAGAAACTAAATGTTTGAAATAGTTCATCATCAAGGTCAATTTGTTCCTCAATTGATGAGTACAAATCATCTAACTCAGTATAAATACCAATGAATTTCGAATGTTGATAAATAAGTTCTTTGCCTTGGTTTTTATCGAAGTCGAATATAAAGATGGAATTAATTTGTGGAAGTGTATCGATCTGAAATAACATTTGAGAGGCATCCACACTCGATGTAATTAAGAAGATTTTTTCTTTGTCAATAGAGTTAATATATTTAATACAAGATTCAGTCTCATTGTAATATAAGACATAATCATTGATTTGACGTATTTGTTCATTGATGTTCTCTATATTATTGTACGAATAAATATTGGAATCAAACCAAACAATAGTGATTGTTTCTTTGTTTTTTTTTCTATTCATTATTGTTTAATCGGTATCGTCAAAGTAAACTGACAATTGATTCTGGTTACCAAGCTATTCAATCTAAATAGAGTTTTGTCTCTTTCAAATGGCATCATCTGATCATTTCGAAAAAGAAAATATCGCATATATATAATGAAACTGAATTAGATTGATTGATTAATGGAAACAAACATATGAAAAAGATAAGCGAATAATGGTATCAATAACATGATCATTAGTGTTCGTCATCCATCGAAGTAGTTTAACGAAGATATGAGAAACATTTGGAATAAAAATATAATATTATGATAACAATGCGTTGATTTACTCGTATTTTCTATTTTGTGAGAACGTTTGTCTAAATATATTATTTAGCAATCTGTTCTATTATTCTTAGTCTATTTTTGTAATAAGTTCATTGGAGGAAGGTCATTATGATGTAATTTAGAGAAAAAAAATACTCTAATGCTTTAGGTGTTGACTTGAATGTCATCTAGAAAATGTTTCTGAAGTCTATAATACTCACATAATATCACTGCCTAATTGATGTCTAGTTAGCCAAGACAACAAAGTTGACGGAATTTAATTGTTAACACTAGACGATTATTTAACTATGATGCTAATCTATTGTAAAAGTGTTTTATTATTTCAAGTATCAAACTCAAATAACATATTCTTACATATTCGATTGATGTGAACTATTTATTTGTAGCCATCAGTTAGATAAAACAGAATAAAGCCTATACAATTGCCGTTTTACTCTCGTTTCATAACGATCTTGAGTAATAAAATAGTTCTTTTTCTTCATAATATATAAGATAAAGCAATAATACATGTAACAATAAAACATGCATATACTCACCTACTGTGAAATAAAGTTGATGTGAAAAGAACAGAACGTGACTCAAATTTTTATGATAAGAACCCAAGTTATCGAATTACTTTCGAAACATGATCTTCGGAGCAGCTCAAAATGCATCAAGAATGCTAGTCTGACACGAGTTATACTTTTCGATAAGTAAATTTTACAGGTATTGTTAACTTATCATATTCACTGAGGAAGAAATGGCGTATATTGCCACTCAACATCATCATAAAAGAAAAGAAATTATAATAGCGAATAATGCATTTCTTATCATATTTCATTCACTTCAGCAGAGAAAAACGATGAAAGCAACACAATAAAACATCCATAAAACGAAACACGAGTGTGGTTGCAGAATTTGCCGAAGGGTGTGGGGTGTGGGGGTGGGGGTGGGTGTGGGTGTGGGGTGTGGGTGTGGGGTGTGGGTGTGGGGTGTGGGTGTGGGGTGTGGGTGTGGGGTGTGGGTAAAGGAAAGATATATACCCATACCCATACCCATACCCACACACTCACCCTCACCCACATCCACACCCCACACCCACACCCACACCCACACCCACACCCACATCCTCTTTCTACTGCCAAGTTAGAGATGGCAAGACTATCCCCTAAGGAATACATCCCAGGCAGGGAACAAAATGGTAAAATGGCATTAAAATACTCTTCATGTGATGCATTAAAATGATTACTTCTGATTAAGTGAAAATGGTTAAAAAAGATAAAGAAATAATGTTAACAACACAAAATCATTTTTCGCATTATTTCTGACCTATTTTGTTGATAGGAAAATTATCGATAAATTTGAGATAGTTAAATACTGTTCGACAAATTTATTTTAATTTTAATTATTTATTACAATTTAAGTGACGTTTCTTTCTTCTTCGA